GAGGGGGAAAGAGAGGGGGGAAGGGAGAGAGAGGGAGAGAGAGAGAGAGAGAGCGAGGAAGAGAGAGAGGAAGAGAGAAAAAAAAGGCAAAACCTCTAGCCCAAGAGAGGACGAGGCTTGATGCTTACCGCTCGGGGGCTTTCTGGAATCGCTCCTGGCTGGCGGTTCGCCAAAACAGTCAGCGGCGCTGGGGATCAGCAGGACCAGGTTCTCGTCTCCTGAAGGAAAGATTTCAACACGAGAGACGGGGAAATTGCAGCAGCAGCAAAGCTTTATTCAAGCGAAAGTACATCCGGGGATCTAGGTCCTGGCTTTTGTCTTATTCTTGCCCCTCCCACGCTTTGCCCTAATCTCCCTGCACCATTTGTCCTTTAGCTGGTGGACTGTCTAGAATTTCCTGGGTCTGCTTAACTGGTGAGCTTCTTAGAATTTCCTGAGTCTGCAGGTGTCTTGAAAAATTTTGTCCTTTTGGTGCTGGGAGTCGTTTTTACTGCATTTCTTTTCCCTCTTTTTGTCTAACTTTGATGGCTGTTTTAGTTTTCTGTTCTCCCTTTTCCTTGTTTATTTAAGCGCTGCTTTTTGGTCAGTTTGTCCTTTCTCTGCCCTGCTCATGTCTATCTAACTACCTAGTCGAACACAGATATATGCTCAATCACTCCTAGTGAGTCACCGGATGTGACGTAGTCTTGGGCAGCCTAACACAGTGGTATAAAGTAAATGAATAATTATGAGATATTCTAATTTTATCATCCCCTGTTATCTTCGAGAACCCATATTTTTGGTGTGGAAAAAAGGAAATACAGATATAATCTAGAATAGGTTGAGTAAAAAACAATCTGTATTCCTGAATTTTACTTGGAAGTCGTACTATCTCAGAAGGTAGTTATTTTTTTAAAAAAACTGTGTGTGTGTGTGTGTGTGTGTGTGCGTGCGTGTGTGTGTGTGTGTGTGCCGCGTGCCGCGTGCGCTTTCTAGCTCTGCCTGCTGAAGAGAGAGGCCTAGAAACAATGAGCAACCCTGGCACCCAGATTTTTTGAGAAATGGCTGATTCCAGGTCTGGGTGTAGAAATGTAAATATAATCCTTGAATCTTATCAGAAAGCTGTCCAGACCTAAAAGGGTGATGGCTAAAGGACTTGCCAGCTTCAACAGTTTCCCACTGGCCACAGATGAGACGATCTAACCTCCAAGAACATAACTGCAATTTGATTAAAACTCATCTAATATGTTTAAGTTAATGAATTCACAATGATCTGGTGACTTTTGGAGGATGATAGGAAACAAATCATTTTCTTGAGAAAACTGGTATATAAAGGGGAAAGAATAAAACATTTATCCTGCCTTTCTTACATGAACTGTAGCATTGGTAACCAAAAGATAGATGAGTGAAAGCATCTCTGTAAAAGTAATGCAATTAATAAACAAAAAAGAATTGTTAGAATTTGAATATCACCATTTTGCAACCACCAATGAATGTAGGCATTGAGTATCTCAGCTGCTAACATCACAAAAAGAATGACACAGGAGATTATTTGCCCCCTAATGAGAAGACTTTCGGTTTTGCTAAAGAGATCAAACTTGAACCAGATCTGGCCTCTGCATCCAGCTGCCAATTTGCAGGAAAAAGATTACAGAGAAATATGTTCAACTGCTTATGAAATTTTATATATCCTTTGGAATTAATTGGGTGACAGCAGTGTCTTTTGTTCTAATGTGACTCTGCGGTCTCCTGAATTGAGGCTGGTAAGCAGAAATACCAAGCCATGATTAGAAGCTTGGCATTTTTAGCTTTACCCCTTATTCTCCTGAGAAGGGAGAAGGTTTGGAAATGGAATTGATGATCGGTCATGCCTGTGTGAGAAAGCCTCCATGAAATCCCAAAAGCATGGGGTTCAGAGAGCGTCCAGGTTGGTGAATGTGCGGAGGTGCTGGGAGAGGGGAGGCGTGTTTGGAGAGGGCAGGGAAGCGTCCTTTCCCACATGCCTTACCCTACGCATCTCTTCCACTTGGCTGTTCATTTGTATCTTTTGTCATATTCTTTTATAATAAACTGGTAAACAGTAAGTAAACTGGTTTCCTGTGAACTGCTCTAGCAAATTAATTGAACCCAAGGAGGAGGTCGTGGGAACCTCTGATCTATGACCCATCATCAGCAGCACAGGTGACAACCTGGACTTGCAACTGGCATCTGAGGTGAGGAAAAGCAGTTTTGTGGGACTGATCCCTTAACTTGTGGAATCTGATGCTATCTCTAGGTAGATAGTGTCAGAATTGAGCTGAATTGTAAGACACCCAGCTGTTGTAAAGAATTGCTTGGTTTGGGAAAAACCCCCGCATGTCTGGTGTCAGAAGTGTGAGTGTGGTAGTAGTGTGAGAATACAGGAGCAACATATAAGACACGTAGCATAGGGTTTCAATACACTGCACCACACAAATGCAATCACCCAAATCTCAGCTGTGGCAAATTTGAACTTGAGTGAGAAATTTGAGAATAAAGAGACTTAAAATCTAACAATTTTTTAAATAGGTAAGACTAAACTACAATGTTTGGGATGTATACTGGGTGATATAATGATAAAGAAATGCAGAGTAATTGCTATAAAGTCAGGGTAATGGTTGATGGGTTAAAATTGGATGGGCTTTAGGGGTGTGTGGCAAAGTTTCTTTTTGAATTTGGTAGTAGTTACAAGGGATGTTGCCTTATAATAACCCATTAAGCTATACTCCTGTGTTATATGACTTTCTGCATCTCTATTTTATTTTTTAAATTAAAATATTAAAGTCCTATTTTTTCCCTTACAGTAGAGAATATTTATCTTAAATGCCCAGTCATTACCCATTTAGATTTCATTTTATGCATATGTTGCAAGAGTCATTGTTTGATACTGTTTTCCTTCTATTTTGAGATTTCTGTTCTAAGGATAAAGAATTTTGGGACATATTTTTTCTCATACCCACAAGGAAAACTACTAGAGAGTGAGAATCGACCCACTTCTCACCATTTCTACCACCTGAGAAGCCTGCCCTTGGCGGGTAGCATCAGAGCCATGGACAAACAAATCACAAGTGCATTTAGTTTCACAAATCTGATGAAGGTTGAGTGGAGTATACATCTGGGAAGATGCCCCAAACTTGGCTCTGAAGGTTTTTCCTGAGGGGAGACTAGTTCTCAGCTTCTGCTCCTTCTGGGGTCCAAACCCCAGGCCAGCAAGAGGTGCTGGCATCCCAACCTTGGTGCAAGCTGGGTTATGGGGACAGCCAAACTGAGACAGAGCAGGGTACTTGCAGCCTAGGGTGGGGCGTGGCCTGATTCTGGGGCTCACTCCCCTCTGTGATGGGCTTTGCCTGTCAGTGGAGGCACTGAGCATTATTAGTCCTTAAGGGTTTCTTGATGGAGTCCTTGGCCCCTTGGGGATGTTTTCGCAACTGTGCATGCAACGAACGGAGGATCTCTTCTGGGAGAGAAGAGATCCTCCGTTCTCCCAGCACCTCTATGTGTTCAGCAACCTGGAAGCTCTTCAAACTCCATACTATTAGGATTTCATGGAAGTTTCCTCACACAGGCATGATCAATCATTAACTCCATTTCCAGCCACCCTCTCTCTCTGGAAAATGAAGGGCAGGGCTGATAATTCCAAGCTTTTAATCATGGCTTCGTCTTTCTGGTGATAAGCCCTCATCCAAGAACCATCCAGGAGCCCACCCAGAGTCGTCCCATTAGAACAAAAGACACTCCTTTCACCCAGGAAATCACAGGGGTTTCAGGAGCCCTATGTCAGGAACTGGGGTCAAAGACCAAATATAACCAAAGATGTTTCTAGTGCTTTTTTTTTAAATTTTTAATCCTCATCCGAGGATATTCTTTCCATTGTTTTTCAGAGAGAGTGAAAGGGAGAGAGAGAAACATCAGTGATGAGAGAGTCATTGATTGGCTGCCTCCTGCACGCCCCCCACTGGGGATTGAGCCTGCAACTGGGGCATGTGCCCTGAACGGGAGTAACTGAACCAGTGACCTTCTGGTTTGTAGATCAACGCTCAACTATTGAGCCATCCTGGCCAGGCCCAAAATATATTTTCTTATCTCACATCACTTCAAATCACAGGATAGCAAGTGATGGCACTGGGATTCAAATCCAGATAGTCTGGCTAGAGTCCATTCTTTCAAATAATAAAAACAGGTTATTCATTCTTTTTGCTTGAAGAAATCTCTCTTGCAAGTTTCTGACAATCAGGACAGATTGTCCTACACTTGACCACCTATTCTAATCCTACAGTCCATGCCAGAGGTCACTGCCATTCATCAGTTTACTGGATATCCTTCCAGACCTTCTATGCCTTTATAAATGTATTGTACATAGAAAAATATAT